GTAATACTAATACGAATAATAATAACCGGAATGATAGCAGCATTAAGAATATTATTAATTTGCCTGGCGAAGGACCCAACCATATGCAGTTGAGAGTACCGCAATTGTGAATATCTTCTTCGGTGGCGCTCCCTATGGGGCCACGAGCCGTATGAGGGGTGTGCCGAAATGCGTGGCAGTGTACACAACACGAACGAAGACGATAGGTCCGAATATGAAAGCTTGAGCGCGTGCGAGTCGGATCGCGAGCGAGTCTGATTATGAATGAATCTGCGCGCGATTGATTCTATTCGCATGAATGCGTGCATGGATACGCCCAGTGTAAATGTATGTATACGACTGTGAACAGTTTGGGTCTGCGTGACTCTCGGTACTCGTGACTCTGAGCGTCGCCTCTGCAGGGGGCTTCCCTGGGAACCCCGACGGCAGCGCCCGCGCGCCGCGACGCCCATGTCGGCACGCCCACACACACGGACGCATGCGGACGGCAGCACTGGGGCCTTCGGTGGAGCTCCCTATGGGCCACGAAACGTGTGAGGGGTGTGCCGAATGTGTGCGGGACGCATGCGGACGGCAGCCATGGGGCCTTCGGTGGAGCTCCCTGGGGGCCACGAAACGTGTGAGGGGTGCCGAAATGGGTGTGCGGGACGCATGCGGACGGCAGCACTGGGGCCTTCGGTGGAGCTCCCTGTGGGGCCACGAAACGTGTGAGGGGTGTGCCGAAAATGGGTGTGCGGGACGCATGCGGACGGCAGCATGGGGCCTTCGGTGGAGCTCCCTATGGGGCCACGAAACGTGTGAGGGGTGTGCCGAAATGGGTGTGCGGGACGCATGCGGACGGCAGCACTGGGGCCTTCGGTGGAGCTCCCTGTGGGGCCACGAAACGTGTGAGGGGTGTGCCGAAATGGGTGTGCGGGACGCATGCGGACGGCAGCCATGGGGCCTTCGGTGGAGCTCCCTATGGGGCCACGAAACGTGTGAGGGGTGTGCCGAAATGGGTGTGCGGGACGCATGCGGACGGCAGCACTGGGGCCTTCGGTGGAGCTCCCTATGGGGCCACGAAACGTGTGAGGGGTGTGCCGAAATGGGTGTGCGGGACGCATGCGGAACTGGGGCCTTCGGTGGAGCTCCCTGTGGGGCCACGAAACGTGTGAGGGGTGTGCCGAAATGGGTGTGCGGGACGCATGCGGACGGCAGCACTGGGGCCTTCGGTGGAGCTCCCTGTGGGCCACGAAACGTGTGAGGGGTGTGCCGAAATGGGTGTGCGGGACGCATGCGGACGGCAGCCATGGGGCCTTCGGTGGAGCTCCCTATGGGGCCACGAAACGTGTGAGGGGTGTGCCGAAATGGGTGTGCGGGACGCATGCGGACGGCAGCACTGGGGCCTTCGGTGGAGCTCCCTGTGGGGCCACGAAACGTGTGAGGGGTGTGCCGAAATGGGTGTGCGGGACGCATGCGGACGGCAGCCATGGGGCCTTCGGTGGAGCTCCCTGTGGGGCCACGAAACGTGTGAGGGGTGTGCCGAAATGGGTGTGCGGGACGCATGCGGACGGCAGCACTGGGGCCTTCGGTGGAGCTCCCTGTGGGGCCACGAAACGTGTGAGGGGTGTGCCGAAATGGGTGTGCGGGACGCATGCGGACGGCAGCCACTGGGGCCTTCGGTGGAGCTCCCTATGGGGCCACGAAACGTGTGAGGGGTGTGCCGAAATGGGTGTGCGGGACGCATGCGGACGGCAGCACTGGGGCCTTCGGTGGAGCTCCCTGTGGGGCCACGAAACGTGTGAGGGGTGTGCCGAAATGGGTGTGCGGGACGCATGCGGACGGCAGCCATGGGGCCTATGGGGCCACGGTGGAGCTCCCTGTGGGGCCACGAAACGTGTGAGGGGTGTGCCGAAATGGGTGTGCGGGACGCATGCGGACGGCAGCCATGGGGCCTTCGGTGGAGCTCCCTATGGGGCCACGAAACTATGATGACGATGACGATGACGACGATGATGACGATGATGATGATGATGATGATGATGATGATGATGATGATGATGATGATGATGATGATGATGATGATGATGATGATGATGAGGATGATAGGAGGGGAGAGGAGGCGGAGGAGGAGAGGAGAGGAGGAGACGCGGGGCGCTGTCTCTTCAAAACGAGGACCCAACACCACAGGATGGTTGGGAATAATAATGATAAGCCTAATAATTAAAGTAATACTAATGATGATAAGCGTTTTATTACAGTAATAACAATCATATTCATAATCATACTCATAATCATGCTGATAGAACAATCATACGACTAAGCATCATAATAATAATCATAATATTAGTACCATTCTTAGTAGCATGGTGATTATTATGACTCGAATTAGTCGTCTTCTGATTCTTCATAATATTATTACTATCATTCTTAGTCGTATTATTATGCTTGCTATTACTCTTATATTTCGTCTTCTTATTACGTCTCCTCTTCCTCCTCCTCCTCCTCCTCCTCCTCCTCCTCCTCATCCTCCTCCTCCTCCTCCTCCTCCTCATCCTCCTCCTGTGGGCCCGCACCCAAGGTCACTCGGGCGAAGGGCCACTCCTACGCGCAGTCGGCCAGTGTCTCCAGGAGACGACTGCCTTCGACGGCCCCTCCATGTAAAAGATCCACCCTGGATTGTGACGTCGTGGCCAACCTCTCCCAAAAAGCACTGTGGGGCACGGGATGGAGCGTCCAACTCCAGCTCGTGCGTGCGGGCATCCGCCCCAGCGCGTTCTCTGGATCTCCCGACGCTCCACCTAGCTCGCTGCGCTGATGGTGGCGCCGTGCGCGCCCTCACGCGCCTCGAGCGGATCCGTCGCCGCCCCCTCGCCACGCGAGACAAAGCCCGGGAGGCTCGCTCGACGGCGGCAAGAGGCGTACCCCACGGGCATGGGCCCGCAGACGCTCATGCCCAAGCCAGGCGAAGGCCTGCGACCCCCTCGCCCTCGCTGTCGCTCTGCGGACTGAGGACCGGCGGCTGATTTGCTCCCAGACCCCGTGGCGGTAATCCTGCCAGGGCGCGCCCGAGCCCACAGCGCTCGCGGTGCGCGAGCGTCCCCATGCTGCGAGCCGACAGTGCCTTCGCAGCCCCCGTCTGAGCGATGTCTCGCGTTGCCTGCCTCGTCCCACCCAGCAGGGCAGACGAGACAGACCTTGCGGACGCATGCTGCGGAGGAAAGGGAATGGGAAAAGGGGCACATAGGAGTGGGGAAGGTGGAACGAGGAAGATGGAATGGAGAAGTGGGAACAGGGGAAGAGGTACTTGTCACGAGGGAAGAGGGGAGGGGAAGGGGGGAAGGGGGAGAGGCGAAAGGAAAGGAGGGAAGAGGAGGAAGGAGAGAGGGCGACTTGGAAGGAGGAAGGGAGATGGAGAGAAGGGGGGAGGGAGACGGGAGAATGGAGAAGGCACAGATAAGCTTGGTGCGCTCGCGTCACATCTGACGTCATACCACTCCCTCCCATCCCTTAGCATTGCGTGAAGCCCCCCTTCATTAGCACAGTAAGATGTTGAAGGAAACAACGATCCCGAAAGGGTGCGCGATGCATAGCACAGCATAGCATTGCGTTGTCAGGCATTGCACATCATAGCATTGCACATCACAGCGGCACATAACCTAGCATTGCATGGCATGCCATTGCCATGCATGGTACTGCGTAGCCCAGCGTTGCATACCACCCCATTGCTGGGCATTACATGGAATCGCGTCATAGCGGTACATAACATAATAGTGAGTTGCACACTATGGCTGCGTGAACGGTGCCGCCGGAAAACCATGCTGCAGGACCGACGATTTGGAGATGAGGCCGGTGCTGCAGCGGGAGCACCCTTCGGAAGGACCGAAGACGCGGAAATGAGGCTGAAGCTGCAGCGGGAGTACCAATCAGAACGACCGAAAACGCGGATCCGAGATAAGCGCTTCAGTTAGAGCACCAGTCAGAAGGACCAGGAGAAGCGCCGAAATGAGGCCAGCGCTGCAGCGGAGCACCCGGGGCAAAACTCTCAGCCCATGTCCAGGAGAGAAAAGATAATATTTCTCAGATTGGGCAACTGTGGAGGGAAAGAGTGGGCAAAGGGGAGAAGGAGGAGATGGTGGTGGACGGAAGCTTGCGGCCCAAGAGCGCCTGAGTCGCAGAGGGATGCATATGCTAAGCTTTGCCCTGACTGCCGTGGATGTCAGAGAATAAAGCGAAACGAGATCAGTATTCTGGAATTCCGCCGTTCGATGAGAATGAATGCAGTCCAGGCCACGACAATACGGGGCTCAAAAACCTGCACTTACGGTTCGCGGTTATGTTTTGCATTTTCGGCGGCGGCCGCCGATCGTGCCCACTTTGGAACCGCGGACTTTGAATGGCGAAATTCCAACGTTATGAATAAGTTTCGCGTTAACTGTTTCAATCCACGGTAGTGGAGATCAAAGAGGGAGCTTTTCGGGCGTCTTCGTCACGGTTTAGTGTATGTTTCTGCCCCTGTTCTGGCTTTCGCGGGGCCTGCGGAAAGCTCTGAGGGCGTCATGGAACACCTAAAAATCAGGATCTGGAGCGGTACTGGAACTTGTCAGATGCATCTACTCCTTCTCCTTATCCTCCTCCTCCTCCTCCTCCTCCTCCTCCTCCTCCTCCTCCTCCTCCTCCTCCTCCTCCTCCTCCTCCTCCTCCTCTTCCTACTCCTCCTGCTCCTTCCTCCTCCTCCTCCTCCTCCTCCTCCTCCTCCTCCTCCTCCTCCTCCTCCTCCTCCTCCTCCTCCTCCTCCTGATCCTCCTCCTTTTCATGATCACCCTCATGCTCATGCCCCTCTCCCTCCCCATCCGCCTCCTCCTCCTCCTCGTCCTCCTCCCCCTCCTTCGCCTCCTCCCTCCTTCCCCCTCCCCCTTCCTCATCCATCACCCATCGTCCATTCTCCTCATCCCCCTCCGTCTCATTATCATTGTGACTTATGACCTCCTGCTCCCAGGCCACAGCCCATGGAGTTCTGGTGAAGCTGATTTTTGTCGGCCGCGCACACCGGAGTCCACGACGGTGCCAGCACTCGCATGCGCCCCCGCGGAAAGCGTGCAAATGAGACTGACACCTACGATCCTGCGCAGAGACAGTGTACGAGCAGCTGGGAGCATCCTGTGGCCCTCGGAATCGATAATTCACTAAAGATCCATTCCCCCGTCGTCCCCGCACTCGGAAACTCGCCCCGACGAAAAACGATGCCGCTTCTGCCCCCCCTTCCTGTCCCCCTCTCGTGCCTCTGGGTCCCAGCTCTCGTTTCCTGGGCCGACCTTCCCGCCCCCCTGGCCCACCCCCTCGGGCTCGAGTCTCACACTGACGAGGAGAAGCCCCCCTTCCAAAGCAGGAGAACAGCGTGGGGAAACGATAAGGGCGAGGATAAAGAAAGAAGAGAGAGAGACATAGAAAGAGAAAATGGCAAACAAACAACAACAACAAATAAACAAACAAAAAAGAGACCACGAGAAGAATAACAAAAAAGGATAAAAGAGAGGACGACAAGGAGGAACACCCCTCCCCCGACCCTGGCGACTCACTCTGGCAGAAGGTGGGTCACCGCGCGTGGGGCACAAGCCGGCAGCGGCAGCTGCATCCTGTGTGCATCCCTCCCCCACTCCACCACCCCCCTGGGTGAGCCCGAGCCCGCCCTCCTTCCTCCAGCTCCGGGCTCGCCGCCACCAGTCACGCGAGGACGAGGCGGACGAGGAGGACGCGGAGGACGAGGAGGGCGAGCCCAGCGCAGGACGAGGAGATCTCCCTCCAGCGAACGCCACCCCCCCCACAGGGCGCCTCCTTCTCCCTCTCACGGCCTCCCAGCGCCTCGCAGAGCCGCCCCCTCCCCCTCTGGGGCCTCCCAGCGCCTTCCCAGGGGCCCCGAGCGCCTTGCAGAGCCCCATCCCCCCCTCCACCCCCCTCCACAAACCGCCGCCGGAAACAAACCCCCTCCTCCTGCCCTCTCCTCCCTTCCCGATATGGGCATCCCCGGACTGCGACGAGAACGGCGAAGACGAGGACGAGGACGAGGCCGAAGAGGTGGAGAAGGGAACGGAGGAGGAGGAAGAAGAAGATGAACAAGACGAGGAGAACGGGGAGGAAGACGAGGAGAAGGACGAGGAAGACGAGGACTAGGTGCATGGCCAGGAGGACGACGTCGATGGCAGACCAGGAAGACGAGGAGGACGAGGAGAGGGACGAGGAGCACGACCCAGACCTCAGACCCCCGACGTCGCACCTTCTCAACGCGGGGCCCTCCGACCTCTCGACCCCTCGCCCGGGGGCCCGGCCTTTCGCCCCGCCTCCTCCTGCGATGGCCCCGCGGCCCCGGAGAACGGCACCCGGACGCCGAGGGCTGCGACAGAGCCTCCGCCCCGAGGCTCGGGGATCTTCTGACCCGGGTCAATCCAGACCCGGGTCAGCCAGGCCTTGCAGAATCCTGCAAAAGCCTGCAGGATCCTGCAGGATCCTGCAGAATCCTGCAGGATCCTGCGCCCAAACCCGGGTCAATGGGAGCCTGGCCCTGCAGGATCCTGCAAGATCTGGCGCTCTGGCTGACCCCCGTTTGCATTGACCCCCGTCTCCAGGCTCCCGAGGCCCTCAATACATCGGAGAACCGGGGGGGGGCGAAGCCCGCAGGAGGCTCCCGGACACGCGCCACACCGGCACCCCTCGCGCCTGGGGCGCGGGCTCACGCGCCCTTCTTGCGCAGCGCGGCCAGGGCCTCGCGGGCGAGCGGGGGCCAGGCCGACGACGACGACAGCGACGACGACTCTGAAATCTTTCGGTTCTCCTTTCTGCTCCTGCGGCGCCCTCGTCACCACAGCTGGATTCGCCTCGCAGCTCTGGTCAGGACCCGCCGCTGATCTCAAGGTCTTGGGGGGGGCGGTTCTTGGAGGGTGGCGACGACGACGAAGACGAGGCCGACGGCGAAGGACTGGGGAGGAGGGCAAGGAGGAGGGAGGAGCGGCATGGGAGGAGGGAGGAGCGGCACAGGGGGGATCAGAGAAGAAGCACTGCGGAAGAGCGAAGGCGAAGGAAGCCGCACGGGGGCAGGGGGGGGGAGAAGGAAGGAGGAGCACTGCTAGAAGAAGGGTACGGGATGATGAGGAGGAGGAGGAGGGGGAGGAGGAGGAGGAACAGAAGGGACCGAGGACCGAAGGCGGAGAGCGGGAGGAAGAAGGAGGGAAGAAGCACGGAGGCACGAGAGAGGCCGGGGAGCGGAGGGCGGAGAGGAGAGGAGGTAGGAGGGAGGACCCGGGAGGGGAGGAGCCCACAGCGAAACCGAGGACGTGCTGCAAATCTCGTGTCCGCCGAGACTCCGTAAACCCGCACTCTCCATGAGCGGATGCCGACGACACGTCTGGACGAGGCACCAGCGGGAAAGGATGGGAAGTTGTCGAGTACACAGGCGACCTACGGTGGCCTAGCATGTCCGGGTCGGCAACCGATCCACAGGGAGGATGCCTAACTCCTTGCTGGCGAGCCCCATCGACCTGGTGGGCCGCGCCATTTTGCCAGCGGCTGCGGAAGCACGCGCCCCAACCTGCGCCGAGGACGAGCGTCTGATAAGTGTGAAATGTCCGCACCGTCATCGGTCAGGTTTCCCTGCACGCCGTTGTCACCAAGTTGGACACGCAGGCGGGTTTCTCACGCAGACAACTCGAGCCAAGCAGTTATGCGGAGCGACAATCAGCAAATCATGTGGTGTGCTGGGCGAGCGCCATTGGTTCAAGCGCACTACCTGTGGGGACACGTGTAAGAGCAGAGTGGTGCCGACCTGACGGATGTCCGAGCATCTCGTACGAAGCATGGATGAACTGATAAAACATCCGATTCCGCTCTTCGATGTAACGCCGAAGTTCCAGCACCAACCCACCAGGTGGAGAATTTGCGGGAGCGCATAGCAATAGCGGCGCAAACCTCTGAGGCACACCATGTCAAAAAGACGAGCGTACGAGGGGGGGCTGCAGCTCCACTCTACCATCCACCTCGCCTCATGGGGCGGGGCGACGGAAACCATGTCGAAGAAGAGGAGGTCAGTGCATGACTGGCGGAGGGGCACGGCATGGGATGCCCTCACAGTCGTCTAGTCATAGGCACCCTGGCCAAGCTGGAAGGTGCATCTGACGCCCCCCCCCACCCACCATCGGGGGGCACCAGGCCGCGGCCATCAGGCTTCAACAGCCGAACACAGCTTGGCTCTCCTGTGCTTGGCCATGAACTGCACAACGCTGCGCTACTCTAAGACATATCCTCTGGTCACAGGCTCTCAGAGCACAGAGCTGCACAGCTTCTTGGGAGGTGCGAACCTACGTTTCCAAGAACGCACGCGGCCCCCCCGGCCCCAAAGAGCCCTCTTTTCGCGCCCGAAGCACGTTCTCCGAATTCAAAATGCCAAGGCTTCGCGCCATCGAGGCCATGGCACCTTGAAAAAAGCATGGGTCCGCGTTCCCGAAACTTCGTACCAAAACTAAGGTTCCACGCTCCCCGGCGCGGATCCCCCGAAAAACCGATGCGTGAGCGCTCCCGAGGCGACGATCCTTCGTAAAAACCTGTGGGTCCGCGCCGGCGTGGCCACGATCCCTTATGCAACAAAAAAGGCTCCGTGCACCCGTCGCCAAGATTCGTTGTAAAACCCCAGAGAGGTCTGCGCTCCCGGGGGAGCGATCCCTCCCTAAAACAATGAATCCGCGCCCCCGAGGCCAAGATCCCTCACATGAAGGCAAGGATCCGCTGTCACGGAGCCACGGGACATCGAACACACAAACACACGTTCCCGAGGCAACAATCCCCCGTAAACCATCACGTTTACGGAGTTACAGATGCATGCAAAATGCTGCATGAAAAATCCCGAGGCGATGATCACGACGGGAATGGAAAAGCTACAAACCAGCGCTCCCGACCGCACGGCCCCTCGCCGAAAACGCATGACCCGCGCTTCCGAAGACACAAACCCTTGTAAAGCAAACCGTCGAGCCGCGCACCCGAGGGAACGATCAATCGCAAAACAAAATATAAGATTCGCTACCGAAGCCTCAGCAGGACATAAATTGACTCGAAGCGTAAAACACGCAACACGAATCAACGATCACCAAAAAAAACTCTGAGCCCACCACACACACACACAAAAAAAACATAACGATCAGACAACAACAACAACAACAACAACAACAACAATCATTTTACCCTCATGCGCCATGCTTCCACATGACACATGCATCCATCTGGATAACACACCCCATCATGGGGGATTTTTCTGGCATGCGGGATCCGATATTCCCTCACCCAGATATCCCGCCCAAGAAGGTTTGGCCACCACCTCTTCCGAGGAACTTCAACATCCATAGCTCGGACGGCACATCGCCTTCGCAATCGCCTTGCGCATGCCCCGCATCTCAGAGGGAGAGGAAGAGGAAGAGGAGGGGGAGATGAGAGAGATAGGGAGGGGGAGGAGGAGAAGGGAGGGGGAGGAGGGGGAGGAAGGATGAGTAGTTGTAGTAGCAGCAGTTGATGATATTGTTGTTGCGGCTGTAGCACTAGTAGTAGTGGTAACGGTAGTAGTAGTCCAAATAAGTAGAACTGGCTTGTGGCAGCCAAGCGTTCATAGCGACGTTGCTTTTTGATCCTCCTTTAATGTCTTCTCTCCCTATCCTTGAGACGCAGAAGTCTCAAAAAGTTGGATGGTTCAGCACATCCAGGAAACCTATCGCTGGACCGGCCCAGATATGGTTCCAGAAGCGGCTCGGGAAGCTGCGCAGGCGCCAGAAGCAGAGAAGCACCACGTACGGGCGCCGGCTCGGGCGTCCGGCCCAAAGCCGCTCCAGAATCGGCCCAGGACGGCTTCCCGGGCGCCGCAAGCAGAAATTCAGCATTTTCGAAAGAAAAATGTGTATTGGAATGGCCTCTTTTCGGCGCGATCGGAACTGCCCGGGCGTCCGGCCCGGGAGCCGGGCCGGGTGCCGGCCGGGCCGGGTGCCGGCCCGAGCTCCGGAATCGGCCCGGACGGCCTCCCGGGCGCCGGAAGCAGAAATTCAGCATTTTCGAAAGAAAAATGTGTATTGGAATGGCCTTTTTTCGGCGCCGCCTCGGAACTCGATTTTCCGGCGCCCGGGCGCCGGCTCGGGCGCCGACCCGGGCGTCCGGCCCGGGAGCCGGGCCGGGTGCCGGCCCGAGCTCCGGAATCGGCCCGGTTCCCGGGCGCCGGAAGCAGAAATTCAGCATTTTCGAAAGAAAAATGTGTATTGGAATGGCCTTTTTTCGGCGCCGCCTCGGAACTCGATTTTCCGGCGCCCGGGCGCCGGCTCGGGCGCCGACCCGGGCGTCCGGCCCGGGAGCCGGGCCGGGTGCCGGCCCGAGCTCCGGAATCGGCCCGGACGGCTTCCCGGGCGCCGGAAGCAGAAATTCAGCATTTTCGAAAGAAAAATGTGTATTGGAATGGCCTTTTTTCGGCGCCGCCTCGGAACTCGATTTTCCGGCGCCTGGGCGCCGGCTCGGGCGCCGACCCGGGCGTCCGGCCCGGGAGCCGGGCCGGGTGCCGGCCCAGGCTCCGGAATCGGCCCGGACGGCCTCCCGAGCGCCGGAAGCAGAAATTCAACATTTTCGAAAAATGTGTATTGGAATGGCCTTTTTTCGGCGCCGCCTCGAAACTCGATTTTCTGGCGCCCGGGCGCCGGCTCGGGCGCCGACCCAGGCGTCCGGCCCGGGAGCCGAGCCGGGTGCCGGTCCGAGCTCCGGAATCGGCCCGGACGGCCTCCCTCCCGGGCGCCGGAAGCAGAAATTCAGCATTTTCGAAAGAAAAATGTGTATTGGAATGGCCTTTTTTCGGCGCCGCCTCGGAACTCGATTTTCCGGCGCCCGGGCGCCGGCTCGGGCGCCGACCCGGGCGTCCGGCCCGGGAGCCGCTCTCGGCGGCGAGCAAGAGCACCGAGCCCGAGTTAAAAAGGAGGAAGTCTCGAGCCGGAGCGTTGTTGTTGTTGGGGGGCCGGTTTTGGCGGAACCCCAAAACGCCTGAGCGTGAGCCTCAATTTCAGAGGAAATGCGGCCGGCGCCTCGGCGAGAGCGCCAGGGCGAATATAGGGGGTCCAACAATCACAATTGTTTAGTAATTAAAGTTCAACAACAACAACAACAACAACAACAACAACAACAACAACAACAACAACAACAACAACAACAACAACAACAACAACAACAACAACAACAACAACAACAACAACAACAACACTTACTAGCACGTGGGGACACTCCGTTCTCACCAGTGCCAGGGTTTTCATAGGAGGCGGGCAATACCCCCACTTTGTGGGGGGGCCGGTTCAAGCTCTACCAAATTTCCAAACGACTCTTCGCCACCACCCACACCCAGCTTCCCGCCCTATGACGTTCGGACACTTCACTTCGTGGCATGCGGACGACCGTGGCTACTATTCAGGGCCCCGCGGCCGACGACGACGGCGTGCGCGCGCGAAGAAAAAACGAATGTGTCCCGCATGGTATTATTTGACAGGGATGATGGCCCTGGCAGGTGCGCAACCGTTGTTGCAGAAGTTCGAAAAAGTTGCTCGCAAAAGCCCGTTTGACAGAAATGATTAAAAAGTGTTGGGTTTCCTACGAATCCGCAAGAGCGCGCGGGATGAAATTTTGACAATTTTTTTGTGAAAAAAACCATTGGTTTTTTGATGTTTTTATGTTAAAATCGCTACGAAAACTAAGGTTTTGGAAGGA